AGGGGTATGAACTCACCTCGGGTAAGTGGTTTGATTGAAGGATCGATACGGAAAGCTGGATGTTCAAGTGAAGCCTTGAACACGATTTGATCCTAATTAACACGTAATGACACATAAAGGAGTCAAATGAAGGTATTTCACCGCTAGATGTGATGGATAACCACTCTAGGGACTTGGAACTACTTGCACTAAGTGTTAGGACCTTAAAGGATTGCATGAGAGGAGTGTATGGCAACCTTGAGTGTGTGCGCGGCCATGGGTGTGCGGACCAAGGGGTGTGCGGTCGTACACTCATGATGGAGGGTGCCTTTGAGGTGTTTTCAAGGTCCATACTTGAATCCATGAAGTGTTCTAGGTCTATACTCAATTGTAGTGCAAGTTAAGGGTCCTAGAAGTGGGTTTGCGGCCCTAGGATGAGTGTGTGGTCGCACACGGGAGTGTGCTGCCGCATACAAGGAGTGTGCTACCGCACAAGGGTGTGTGCGGCCGTATATAGGTGTGTGCGGTCGTACACCCTACATGATAATGTCCAAAATGCCAATTCTAAGGTGTAGCAAGGCTAGGGTCATGTCCAACTCGAATATGGAAGTCAAACTCTCACTTTGGAGGGTATTTTAAGAGTGTGCGGCCACCTTATTGTTGGATTAGGTGTCTAAGCCCGTAACTATAATTGGTATGTACTTGAATTGATAGCAGCACAGTCCTTTTGGGTTGCCCTCAACCTAGCAACTGGACAAGGAAATTATGAAAGGAGAGATATTAATTTATAAGATTTATAAATTAATATGTAAATGATTTATTAATATGTTAATGGATTAATATATTAATTAGAAATCATTATGTTTAATTAATAGTTAGCCAGAAATTAATCAGAATTAATTTTGGGGTTAAAAGAATTAATTATAAAGTGCAGGGACTAGTTTGCAATTAACTAATAATTGAGTGGAAGGTTCCAGAACCCCCTTGGAAGGAGTTGGACGAAATTCTTAGGGGAAACCCTAGAGATTTCGTCCAAGGGGTCCAAATAAGGCCTTTGGATCTTGCTTAGGCCCTAAGCAAAGGATAACTAGGGTTTTCCCTAAACCCTAGATCCCTCAGCTATTTAAGGAGCCTCCTGGCTCACATTTGAGGTACTGATTTCTTTGGAAGAAACCCTAAGGCCGAAATTGCATACTCTCTCCATCCTCTCTCCTCCAAGTTTCCTTCTTGCTAGTTCTTGGGTGTGATTCCATTAGAGGCATTACATTTGTGGTGCTAAGCTTCCAAGAAAATCAAGATCAAGATCAAGAGGATTATCAATTGTTTGCTATAACAATTGAAAGGTATGTAACTCCTAAACCCTAGTTTGTTAATTTCGAAATTAGCCTCTCTCCTCTAGGGTTCTTGTTTTGCAATTCAAAGTTGTATGTTCAATAGTTAAAACATAGATCCAAAGTAGGTTGCATGTGAACTTAGGAATTGTTTTCTAGTTTATTTGTTGTACCTAAATCCCATCACTTATGGGGGTGTGCGGCCGCACTCACTTCCAAACACGAAGAACATGACGAATATTGCACACTTAAGGCTTAGATAGAGTGGTCTTTCATGGTTTGCAAGCTAGGGGATGAATTACTCACGTTTTTGAAGCTTTGGAGGGTTTGTGGTTGAAGAAGCTTGAGAGAAATGGTGTTGTGTGCTGCCAAGGTGTTAAAGGAATGAAAAGAAAGGGGGCTACCCTTTATATAGGGGTAAGTATGCTGCCTAAAAGTGAGTGTGCGGCCGCACACCCATGTGTACGGCCGTACACTCCCCCTAAGGGTGTGTATGGCCCGGTTTTGTCACCCTACGGCTTGCTGACTCTTTCCTAAGCTCAACCTGTGCTATACTCGAGCTTAGAACGCTTAAATGAACCCTTAAACAGTACAAGAAGTCAACAGAACAAGTTTAACATTGATTGAATTGGCTAAGTGTACAAGATAAAAGTTTCGGGTTGTCACATAGCAATTGTATTTGTTGATCAAAAATGGGAATAATATTTGTCGGGGCAACATTTTATCATCAAAACAGATCAGAGGAGTCTTAAATGGTTACTACAGCAAAAGATATCTATCCTTTTTCAACAATTTTGGTTGTCCAAACTTATGGTTTTCAATTATGAAATTCAGTATAGAAGTAGGAAAGAAAAGATAGTTGCTTATCACTTTCAAGAGTTCAAGGTTCAGAGATCTTATGCATGGCTATTTCTCTTGTATGTTCTGATTTAATTCAACTCATCAAGAATAGTTATACTTTAGATGGAAAAGTGACGACAATAATCCAACTACTTCAACAACAACAACTGATGCCACATTATACATTCAAAGATGACATTTTAAGGAAGAAAGGAAAGATTTTTATTGGAGATAGCGAAGACTTAAAAATGAAAATACTTCAATGGCAACACACAACGGGGGAAGATGGACATTCTGGAAGAGATAACACATTAAGAAGGGTCAAGAGTTTGTTTACTTGGAAGGGTTTGACCAAGGATGTGAGTAGATTTGTTAAGCAATGTACTATATGTCAAGTTTCCAAGTCAAAAAATACAGCATATCCAGGGTTTTTACAGCCTCTAACAATTCCTAATGAAGTATGTGTGGACATTTTTATGGATTTTATTCAGCCATTGAAGTAGCTCAATGTTATTTAGATAATGTGTTCAAACTTCATGGATGGCCTCGAACTATTGTAAGTGGTAGAGATGTTATTTTTCTAAGTCAATTTTGGAAAGGATTGTTTGCTTTACATGGAACATAGATGAAGCTTTCTTCTATTTACTATACCCAAACTGATGGTCAAACAAAAGTAGTGAACAGATGCTTAGAGGCTTATTTGAGGTGTGTGTGTACACCAAAAGAATGGAGTTTTTGGTTACGTTTGGCAGAATGGTGGTTCAGTACTCATTATCAAAATGTTATTGGTATGACACCTTATGAAGTAGTGTATAATCAGCCACCTCCAATACATTTGCCATATCTTCCAGGAGAATCAAATGTGGAATCCATTGATAGATCATTGAGAAAAAAAAAAGGAAATGATGATTAATTCTTTGAAATAGCATTTAACAAAAGCTCAAGTCAGAATGAAACAACAAGCTGATAAACATAGATCGGAGAGAACATTTAGTATTGGGGATTGGGTATGGCTAAAACTTCAACCGTATAGACAACAATCAGTTCAATTACGGGCAAATCAGAAGTTAGCTAAGAAGTTTTATGGTCCTTCCAAATTTATGCAATCATTGGTATAGTGGCATATAAAATCAAATTACCCACACAAGCCAAAATACATGATGTGTTTCATGTTTCACAACTTAAGAAGTTTTTTTTTTTTGGAAATTACCTATGACAGCTCATATTCCTACCTGGTTTCAAGGTAATGATTTGAAAAAAAAAAAAACTGCTGTAATTTTGGGAAAAAGAACTGTCAATTTTCAAAATGCTCCTCAGATTCAGTACTTAGTTCAATGGGATGGATTTTCAGAATGTGAATCAACATAGGAATCAGTTGAGTACTTGGAAGCTCAATATCCTAGAGTTATATGTTCTGCTGTTGATTTGACTTGAGGACAAGTCAATTTGTGAAGGGGGGATATATGATATGGGAATGAAGTTAGTTACAAGTAAATGAGTCACATGTAATAATAGATGTATAAATATCATTCAGATGTAATCGATGAAGCAGTTCTTGAGTAATAACAGAAATATTTTCTATCTCATCCATTATTATTTCTTATGTCTCAATCGATGTGAATTGATTTCTAATACATGCAAATTGTGTCCTCATTTCACCTTCCATGGATTCTTGTTTGTGTTCCATCGCTCATATCTGATCTTCCATGATTTTCTGAAGTTGATTGACTGTAACCTTCTTCCCAATTGGCGCCAGAATTTTCAATTGATTCAGATCTGAAGGAATAAGTGGTGGAACTCAAGTTGAATCAAGAATGCTCTGATACCAATGTTACAGTAAGGTCAATTCTTACTGTAATGGAAGAAAGTAGAAGTTGAGACATAAGAGAATAAAAGATGAGAGAAAAAGTATTTCTATTATTACTTAAAAAATGTCTCATCTATTACATTTGAATGATATTTATACATCTATTGTGGTACGTGACTCATTTACTTGTAACTAACTTCATTCCTATATCAAAACATCACCTAAGATATGACAAGCGTTACGAATACAATTGTCATTTAACAAAATTACCACACCTTAGTTGTGCAACTAATTGAGTTGCAAATTTGCAAGATTACACCACAACAACCAAAAAAAATTACAAGAATTTAAAAGATACTATCTAGAACTTGCAATTTGTAGGAATGTAAGAAACACATTAGCTGGCCAACTAACTATTATAATTAGAAAAAAAAAACTAGGTGATAAAACAATAGTATTTGGTAAAACTAACAATGAACTGGCAAATGTAAAATGATATAAAAGAACATTTAGATATATAACTAATTATAAACTAGTTAACACCAAACTTGGCCAACGAACTATTACACTTAAAGAAAAAAACACAAATTTGTAAAAATGGAATTCTCTTTATAAAACAATTGTAAAAAATGAATATGTAAGGACAATGAGAAAAAAGCTGTAAAAAATGCTTTTTTTTAAAAAAAATTGTAAAAATAGCTTTAAATTTTAAAAAATAAAATTTGAGCATACGGAAAATTTGTGGAAAAGCCTTAGAAGCGTATCAATAATCATCTCAAATGGTTTTTAAAAAACTAGCATATACGCTATTTTAGTGCTCTCACCAAACACTATATTGCAATAAGCTAAAAAAAAGCTAGTTTATATGTACCAAACACAACCTTAAAAAATTGATCAGTCAAAAAAAAAATTGTGATTGATGATGAAAAAAGTGGTCATTTTTGGGGCTATGGGCGTGGTCTCTAATTTTGTCTATTAAATGGTTCTTTATGCATCAAGTGAAAAAGGAAAACATGCAGAAAAGGAAAGTTGTAAAACGGATAAACCGATGTAGTCATTGGCTGTAAAGGCATATATATATCGTCTACAGTCTACCTACTCCCAGCAGGGATCCCAAAGTTTTTTAAACAACACCAACCAAAACCAGGGGTGTATATATTATATAATGTATGTACATGCAGAAACCAAAGCTGTATCTTATATAACTTAACTCCACTCATCTAGGGTTTTGCTGCTGCTGCTGCTGCTGTTCATCATGATCAAGGTTGTTTCCCGCCCAGGTCCCGGTCCCACTCGCTGCTTGATGCACACCAACACCAACACCACTTTCTCCATCTGTATGCATAACATATTGGGCTTCCAAGTTTCTGTTGTGTTGACTTCCTTGACCATGACCACCAGAACCAGATGGAGCCTGGTCAAAGAACTCATCAGGACTCTCCGGTGTGTCGGTTCCTGACCCCCCACCTTGTTTCTCCCCACCAGAAGCCACACGCGCATCCTTAGCAGCCGCACGCGCTAGTTTCGCCTTACGGTTATTCAACCTAACATAATAAATATGTTTAACGTATTAAAAAATCAAATCAAATCAAAATAAATATCTATCTTAACCTCTTTATATAGATATAGATATAGATATAGAGATAGAGAAGATAGATTTTCTTACCAATTCTTGAGCTGCGAGGCAGAAATTTCAGAACCCTGGAAAAATGAAATTTGGAACATATTAATTAGGCAACGTACTTTTACTATAAAAAAATAAGGATGTATATAATTTAATTTTATACGTACATGAAGACTAAGTTTATCAGCCCATATTTGAATTGAGGCAGCTTTTCTCTGCATGTCAGGCTCGTTCTGTAAAGCTTGTTCAATCATGGTCACTTGCATGTGATTCATTATGTTGCGTTTCCTTTTTCTCATCTGTTTTTCCTCACTTGCCATGGCATTTGAATCCAATCCATTTGTTTCAATGTTCTGACCATCTCCTTCGCTTTCATGGAAAACCCTAGCACTAAAACTTTGAGGCAAATCAATCCTGTGTTCTTGCCTAGCTACTAAAACATTAGAATTGGATGGATCTATATTTAACTGGTTCAGTTCTTCCACAACTGAATTGTCAGAAACACCCTTGTTCTCGTTTCCATGTGGATTTGGAGATCCTTGATTCCCAGTGTTACCCTCCTACAGGACAAAAATATTACTTCATTGCATTTGCCATCATATTCATGTATAATTTAATAGACAAACAAAAATGGAATGAAGATTTTACTTCAGTTTTGTTGATATTGGATTCTGGAGTAATTAGTGGATCCAGCTGAGAAATGAATACCCTACAGAAACCAATGAAAATGAAGATAACAAGTAACTTCATATAAATGCGGGATTTTAAGTTCGATCAATTACCTAAACAGCTGTACATCATCCTGATTAAGGAATCCAGGAATTAATGATTCTGCATGCACCAATAGGGAACCTACACATATAAATATAAAGCATCATGTTATTATGTTAAGTAAGCAAAACCATGTTTTTTCAATCAATAACATTAACAGAGCTGCTGAAAGGATAAATACGCAGGTTTTGGCTAATGACAGCAGCTTTTTCAGCTCCAGCATCATTTGAAACTCCATATGGTAAATTAGGAATTTCCTTCTGCAAGCACTGCAGGAATGTATTAAGGAAGAGATCCTTCTCCTCTGTGAATCAAAACTAGTTCGGTTAATTACAACATACTGGAACTGGATCTGGATAAAAAAAACAATATGGTTAAAGCCTCAAAGTATTCACCTTTACATAAATCAGGAATAAAACAAGTGAGATTTGCTACAACTTTAACCAGTAAAGATGTTCTCTGAAACGCATAAGAAGTCCGAGAAACACGACACGCATTAAAAGTAGATTCCGGAACATCTGATGATGTCAGCACACCCAAAACCCATCCAGCTGCTGCCAACGAATCATAATCCAGAGTTGCATCTTCTTCAGAAAGCCGAGACTCAGAGGAACACCAACTAGACAGGAACTCCGCATGTGGTAGCAAAAATATTGTTGTCAGAACTTCAGTCTGCATAAAGAAACAAGAGCACGTTCAAAATTCAAAAAGCATGTTAAATCATCAATATAAAATTAACACGTTAAAAGCTTACAAAGTTCATGGTGATGTAAGATCTAAAGTTAGAATCATCAGAGAGAATGTCAGTTAATCGCATTGCATTAAGTTGCAGAAGTCCACGTGGATATGTTTTGTCAGAGAAAGCAGCAAGCCCATTCAGATCTCCACGAAACATTGTCTTCAACAATTCAAGAACCTAAATCATGCAAAAAAAAAATATATGAAATAAACTGGATATGGTAATATTATAAAAATAAACTATATCATGAAAGAAACCTGGAATATAGTTGACTTTGCTAAAGTCAAACCCGCAGTAGTGCTGGCAGCCACATCCAAGAAAGAGACACTTTCTACTTCACAAAGATGCAGTAGCTGCAGAAAGTCAAGAGGAATAATAGAGTATTTATTAACGACACCATAAATGAATAATGTTTCCATATGAACATGATCTTACAATAGACAAGACTTTTGATTTTAGCCTGGAAACAACAGCCATAAGATACGATTCTTCACAGAATGGTAATTTCATGATGTCATGAGCCAATAAAAGTATGCCACCTTCTCCACATAGTTCCTGAAGGAAAGAAATAAATACTACAGTCAACACAAGAAGCATCTAGAAGAACAGGTGTTGTATTTGTATTATTGTATATACTTGTAGTTTTTTTTTTTTTAATTGATATCAAGATTCAAGATGGAAATATTTAATAAATGGGAAACCTTATTTTTAACGAGTCGCTCACGAAAGAATCTTTGTTGGCAAAGTGACTGAAGAAATTGAAGTGAAGCTTCACAATGCTGGCACAGACGGTTGACTTCAGCAAGATTTGACCTCATGCCAGTATCAGTAAACTGAGACAACCTCACTTGAAGAAATTGAATGTCTATGTGGACAGCAGCAAAAGCTACAGGCATAAATATATCAACCTGACACACATTCATCACCCACATTCATGTCAGAAAGGATCTCAATAAATATTAAATAAAACTATGCTGACATGTCACCTTAGGGTGGGCAAGAAGGACTAGTGCAAGTTCATTCCATTGTGAAGAAATAAAGGCTGTTAACAGATATAGACTGCAGGCCAACAGTGCTGAATGCACCAGAGCAAGTTGACTTTCCTGGTTGACCAAAAATATGTGTTAATGCAGAACAATAAAGGTAAAGGAAAGGTTAAAAGTATGTAAATGATAGAGAATGAGTTAACCTTTTTAAAGCAAGCAAGAACAGTGATCAGGTAAAAGATCAAATCAAACATCTGTTCAGATATTTTCAGATCATCAAGCAAAATCTGTATTGTGAAAAATAGGTTAATAAAGTTAACATTCAAAGGGAAGACTGGAATTAAATAGAACACAATTTATTCAATCACCTGTTCAAGTTTGTTGTTGCGAGGTGCAAGATCACACAGGGAATGTAACAGTCGAATACCACCTAACAAGTATCTGAAGAGTTCTTCATCTCTCTTAGAAGACAACAGTTTTGCAATTAGGTGAACCACAAAATTTCTTGCTAGGGCTTCCACATCGATCTGAAACATCAGGTTTTAATGAGGCAAAGGCTTAGTGATGTAAAAACATGATGTGATGCAAAATTTACCTGATTTGAAGATCCAGTGCTGGTAGTCCATTGAATAGTATCATTGTCTGCATCCCTAATTAACTTGCTAAGCTCTTGAGAACTTAGTGTGTGTAACTCTTTGATAGCTGAAACCAAATCAATTGCCTGCATGTTGAAGCAAAATATACATTACAGAGAGAATGTGAAGAAGTTTACATTTGTGAAGTGTGTGGTTCTAGTTTCAATTGGAAATATCATTAATCTCATTATCATACTATACTGCTTTATAAATAATAATCTAAGACAATAAACCGAATAATGCAAACCATTTTTCAAGAGTAACACTTTTCAAATGTAGAATTATATCATCATGATGGTGCTTTCAGTTTAGCACTTAATGCATTAAAATTCATTTTGAGAAAATCAGCTTCAGATACGAGTCTTCATTAGATGAATTTTTTCTAGTTATTCTTTCATTGGAATATATTTCCAAGAATAACTATCTCACATTGGACCTTTAATATATATGGACATGGAAAACAGTCATCAAGTCCTAGAAGCTCTGGAAAATGGAACTAGATATACAAGGAAAAGAGGCATCTAAAGTTGTTCCTACCAACTGCAGCAAGACAGTGATTAAGAATCGTATTAATTAATCAAGCAAAACTAATTGCATTTCAGGAAGAAGCCGCAGCAACTGATTAGACAGGACGAAATGCGCAAAAATGATTAGAACTAAAAAAAAACCTGACAGTTCCAATAGCTCAACCACCACCCACGGCGTCTCACCACATATCAGTGGCGGAAATAAAAAAAAATAAAGCAAAAACCAGCTGATCAACAAGGACTCACAATTATCGACGCAACAACAAAATTGAACTCGAAAATTCAACTTATTACTCACTTGTTTCGTCCTGCATGGTGCATCCTCCTTCGCAGGCCGCATTCTTGCTTTCCTCAACCAGAACTAAGAGGCAAAAACAATGCAAAACATTACAATTCATAGATACAAGTAAATTAAGTCTGCACTTCACAAGATAACCAAACAAACCCTAGTTTTTTTGTTTGGGGAGAAAATTGAAAGAACATTTGTAAATTTTACAGAGATTACTGTACAGCATGTAGCATATGAACAATTAGAGTTTAAATTTTGAGCAATTAGAAACTAATTACCAAGAACTACGCAGCTCCAAGTCGATGATTGCACTTGGGCACGGAAAACTGAGACAGATTTTTTGAACCCTAGAAATACGCTAAATACGATGATTTAAATGCATATCCGAAGGAGGCTGGCTACACATATGCTGTGTCTCTTCACTATTTTTAGCAGATTATCGTTGAGAAATCAATTCGTTCTTAGGGTGTGTTTGACGTGCACTTTGAAAACTATATTGGCCGTATACGACGATGCATTTAATATTTTGTATACGTTATATACATTAATTGCGTTGATTCAGGTAATGTAATAATGTTAATTTTATTCATTTAATGGAACATGTTGTTATTTTACATAAATGACTAAAAATAATAATAATAAGGTTAATATATCAAAGTATTTATGTTTAATTTATGACAATTTATCTTTTCAAGTTAATTAGTTGTGAAACTGTTATTATATAGGTTAATTATATATATATATATATATATATATATATATATATATATATATATATGTTCAATAGAGAACCATAATTATTGGTTCTTCAAAAAACCAAATCTTTTTTTCAATTTCTAGAGCTTATTTTTTATCGAAAAAAAAATCTAAAAATATCTAAATTCATATATTAACATTGTGAATGTGAAAAATATTTTTCGGATTCACCGTGTGAATCCGGATTCACATTGTGAATTTTCAAAGATTCACATTGTGAATTTGACGTAAAAAAAATCGAATTTGATATCATTGGAAAAAGGATAAAAAGTTATGAATTTCTGTATTTTTAGTTTTTTTTTCTTGATAAAAAATAAGTTTTAAAAGTTGAAAAAAAGATTGGTTCATTGGTTAATTATGGTTCTCTATTGAACCTCACCATATATATATATATAGATATATATATAGAATATAGATATATATATATATATATATATATATATAGGTTTAAATCTTCTATTCTAATAAATAGTTTTTTTTGGTCACATGTCACATTTTTATTTATTTTGTCACATATCATTTTTTGGTTATTTTAAATAGATTTGTTTTTAAATGTCATTTTATAGTTTTTTTTTATTTTATCAAACTTCCATATAATATTTAAATATAATAATTGTAATAAATTTATATTAAGTTCATTAATGAAAATTTCCTTCTAATTACAAGATTTCTAAATTAAAGTCCAATTACTTCTTTGTTTATTTAGTTAAATTATTTGATTAAATTTAAAAAGAAAATAAGCATTTCAATTTCAATAATTCAATATTTTTCTCATTTTTATTATAAATTTAAACTTGTAAATGTTTAGACCTTCATATTTAAAAATTATAAAAACAAAAAAAAAACACATGTAGTACACAAGACTCGTAACTAGTTTATAACAAAAGTAAAATAAATATTGAATTATTGAAATTGAAGTGTTTGTTTCATTTTTAAATTTAAATAAATAAACAAAAGATTAATTAAGTTTAATTTAGAAATGTTAAAAGTAAAAGGAAAGTTGCATTAATTAAATTCATAACTATTTATTATTACATTTATTACAATTATCATATCTAAATATTATGTGGAATATAATAATATATAAAAAAAAATCATAAAATAACATATAGAAAAAAAAATTAAAATAACCACAACATGATATGTGGCAAAATTAATAACAATATAACATACGACAAAATAAGATTTTTATTTATCATAGTAGAATTTGTGAAACTCGTGTCTCACACAGGTATCAGATCCGGTCGGCAACAGACCATAGATCCGAACAAATAATGGCACACATGGCAAACACATAACATTTAGCACATAAGGGCATTTTAGGCATCTTTCCTAAAATAAACTAGTGCTCGTGTCTAAAATATGGTAGACACTCATCTCACAATCATCACTGAGCATTCTAAGTTTAAGTCTAGAAATCCTACAATTTCTTAGTTCGCTTAAACTAATGCTTTGATACCAACTGTGACATCCCATAATTTCTCGGCCAGAAAAAACCGATTTAATTTATACTTTTTAAAATAAAATCAGAGAAATCTTTTCAAAAGATGTTGCGGAATTGGTCCCCAAACAACATATGATAAAAGTTTATCAAAACCCTTCATGAAGAAGGTATATTTTCCATATATATCAAAACCTCGGGATGTCATGTTCCGATACAGATCAAAAGCATAAACAAGACATTATAAGCCTTACTACAGTTATTTACAACTACTGGCCTATAATCCAAAAATCTCACGTCATCCTCCGACTATGCTCGGGGTCCACTACCTGTAATCATAAAAAAATTGAGTGGGTCAGGCTTGGGAGCCTGGTGAGCATATAGGGTTTTCAACCCACAGTAATAATAAACTTATTAAATTCATCAATCAATAATAACCCTGATTACCCGTTCCCGTTATCCTCACTTTACGTCCCTTAACATTTTTCACAAGGGACCTAGCCTAAAGAATATCATCGGGATGGACACTATTGCTAAGGGGTTTCCTTAGCCATACATGTCCTAAAGGCAACCATGAGGGGGATTGGAGTACAACGAAAACACCCAAGTTCATTAACACCTACAGGTTGCGGGCCTGCTAGTGCTTCCCACTGGACTGTCTAGAAAGTCCGTGGTCGTCATCCAAACTCCCTAGATGACTGAATCACAAATCACAACGAGGCCTCTCATCACTTTATTTCATCACACACCAACTATCTACCCATGTTCTACCCAACAATTTGTAGATAAAAATACTTATACAGTTTAAAAAACTTGTATAAAACATCAACTCAACAGTCACCTCAAATAAACAATTAATATATTTACACATAGCACGTATTATAAGGTAAATACTTCATATCTATGTGTAAAATGAAAGTGGCTATACACTCACTTGATTTGATGAAAATCGGGCAGCAATTCGTTTCCTAAAACGTTCGTTTCTAATAAAACCGGGAGTTTTATTCAGAAACCGGGCTCTACGAGGGTCGGGCTTCGAAACCGAAAGAGAAATTTTACGGGCTTCACGGGCACTTCGTGGCGTATTCCGGGCTTATAATCGATACCGGGGCTTTGGGGGATGTTAAGATGAAGAAAATATGAAGAAAGGGGCTAAATATGGCAAAATCTCAAAAGTAACCGGGAGGGTTCGCATGACCCTTGTATTTATAGGGGTCCGAAGTCCTGATCCGACGGCTGAGAAGGAGCCACGCGTCGCAGATCCGAAGTTCGCAGGGGGATGGCTCGCACGAGGTCTGCACGTGCGAAGGCTTGCTGTCCTCTCCTGATTGGACCGAGGTCTACTGGTCCGAAGTAGGGTTCCGTGGCTTATTGCGAGGGCTTCGGACATGTGAAGGAGGACACGCGTCGGACATGCATTGGACCGCTCAGCAGCTCGGATGACTCAGCCTCGTTTCGGACATGTGGCACATGCGAGGCGAGGACACGTGGCTCACATGACTCACCAATTTCGGATCTAAGCGAGGGTGACGTGGCAAAAACGTGACTATGCGAATTTTCTCGATTTTTGTGCAAAAACTTATAAAATCCATAACTTTCTCATACGAGCTCCGTTTTTGACATTCTTTATATGCACGCGTAGGTAAAATTACGCTCTACAACTTTCGTTTAGACTTCGTCGGCTAATTTTGACTTTAATTTTTATATTATTATTTTTAACAGACCGGGACAGGAAATCCGTTAAAAATTCATAACTTCTTCATCCGACGTCCGTTTTCGTCAGACTTTTTACCGTTGTGCTACTAATGACGAGAGCTTCGATTCTCGTTTAGGTCGTGTCTGCTAAAATTCACTCGATCTAAAATTCGAGTTTTTAGCTGTCTACTGCTAAGCTGAAACTTCGAAAAATCATAACTTCCTCATACGAAGTCAGATTTGGGCGTTCTTTTTATGCCTACTCTCAGTTTAACGAACACTACGAGTTTCGTTTAGATCACTAAGGACAAAAAGTAGTTTATCAAAAACTCACTTTTTACGACATTCGGCCCCGTGCCGGTTTGTCGCGAAACTTCGACAGGTCATAACTTCTTCGTTATAACTCGGATTTCGACATTCTTTATATATCTGTAATCCTTGTCACGCCCACTACAAGTTTCTTAATAGATATCGGCTTTATCAAAATTTAATTTTTTGACGCTCATTTTTATTCTTAATTAATTAAACCCTAATAATTAAGCATAAAACACATAATTCACATAATATTCACATAATTCCTTTTTCATTTCTTCAAAATGAGTTACAAAGGTTAACCTAGACTATAATGTCAATATTAATGCCTAGCCTAAAAACACGGGCATTACAATTCTCTCCCCCTTAGGATGATTCCGTCCCCGGAATCACACATCAGCAAACAAATGCGGGTAGCGACTCATCATGTCACTCTCCGTTTCCCAAGTGAGATTTGGCCCATTCGTATGTTTCCCAACGCACAAGCACTAAATCGACCATCTTGCGTCTCAGCTTCTTAGTCTTACGGTCAACGATTGCTCAGGTTCTTCGATCAACCTCTTGTTTTCATCCAACCTTAACTTAGAAATGCGGAATTATGTCGGGCACATCTCCCGAGAACTTTCTCAAATAGCACACATGAAAGGTAGTAATGAATACCCCCCAGTTCTTCCGGTAATTCTAGCTTGTAAGCTTGATTCCCGATCCTCTGAAGAACTTTAAATGGTCCAATAAACCTTGGACTCAACTTCCCCTCTTACCAAATCTATAAGTCCCTTCCACGGCGAGACTTTAAGTAAAACCGAATCTCCAACATCGAAGGATATCGTTGTCTTTTCTTGTCAGCATAACTCTTTTGTCGATCTTGAGCAGCTAACACATCTTTCTCTTATCACTTTCAACATTCCAGCAGTTTTGATGGACTATCTCAGGTCCCATAAACTGCTTTTCCCCAGCTTCCAGCCAGCATGATGGCGTTCGACACTTCTTTCCCCATACAAAGCGTGATAAGGTGCATCTTGATGCTCGAGTGGAAACTATTATTATAGGAAAATTCTACTAGAGGTAAGTGTTCATCCCAGTTACCTTGGAATTCTAGGGTACATGCTCTCAGCATATCCTCCAATGTTTTGAATCGTTCGTTCGCTCTGACCATCAGTTTGAGGATGGTAAGCTGTACTCAAACACAACTTGGTACCCAATTCCTCTTGTAGACTCTCCAAAACCTTGAGGTAAAACGGCTGTCACGATCGGATAACAATCGTTAACGGAACACCATGTAGAGC